CAAAAAAAACCAATAATATAACAAGATATGATATGAAATTGTGCCAAGGAAGGTTTCAAAACAAGCACCTCAATTTTTATAAACATCCTAGAAAACAAGAAAAATACTCTAAATTCTTAAGCCCTAACCTACCAGCCTTGTTGTAATGCCTTTGTCAGCCAAAACCAACATACAAGAAGCAAAACTTAAATGATATAATTCACCAAGGCATTAACGATAAAGCCAAGAAGACAATATACAACTTACCAAGGTATCAATGACAAAGCCGAAACGATGATACACAGTTTACCAAAGCACCAACGATGATACACAACTCAATGACAAGAAACCAAAATGACGATATAAAACTTACCAAGGCACAAACAACAAAGCCAAATAATGATTTACCAAGGCACCAATGATGAAGCTGAAACGAGGATTCATCAAAACACTAATAACAAAGTTGAAACAACGATACACAACTACCAAAGTACCAACGATGAAGCCGAAATGTTAATTTACCAAGGCACCAATGACAGAAGCTGAAACGATGATATACAACTCACCAAGGCACTAACGACGAAGCTGAAATGTCAATTCACCAAGGCACCAATGACGAGAAACTGAAACAACAACACACAACTTCCCAAGGCACCAATGACGAAGCTGAAATGTTAATTTACCAAGGCACCAACGACAAAACCAAAATGTTAATTCACCAAGGCACTAATGATGAGAAGCTGAAACGACAACACACAACTCCCAAAAGCACAAATGACGAAGCTGAAATATTAATTCACCAAGGCATGCAACGACGAGAAGCTGAAACAATAACACATGCACCAACGACGAAGCCGAAATGTTAATTCACAAGGCACCAACGACGAAGCTGAAATGACAAAGCTAAAGTGACTATAACTGACCTAGTACCAAATTCAAGTGATGGCTCTAATAATAACGACAATCTAAAACTAACAAAAAAAAAAATATATTAGAACCATGTTGAAACAAAAAAAAAATTAAAAAAAATTAACTGATTTAATCAGTTGATAATCACTATTTATATCCGTGATTTGATGTTATACAAAAAATTAGATAATTCTTAAAATCTATATTGTAAAACGCGATGAAGTTTAATTTTCGTTTAAAATTTAGAATTTTCAAGCTATAGCTTAAAACCTAGAATGTATTGTTGAATTAGGCAGCTTTATAAATAAAAATGATCTTTGCTTTACTCAATCAAGTAATGACTCTATATATTAAACTATCAAAGATTATACGGATTTAAGTATTTATTTTATTAATTTATTATTTAATTTATTTATATTTATATTTTTTTTTATTTATTCCAAGACATTAAATAAATGCAAGCAAGAAAGATGCCAAAAAAATGAACCTATTATTTAAATC